CTCATACATCAATTGTAGAACAATAAAGAAATACCACTGTTAAAATAGTGCTCAATACATCAGTTGAAGAGAGGAATATTAAATGATTTACTATAAACATCACTATACCTGTACTGTCTTGTTGTTTGTAGTTGATCGTTTAATTGGTTGATTTCCCACTATATCATACATTGTAGTCTGACCAACTGTAATACTCTACAAAATAAAATAAGTAAATAATATAAGAATATTTGACAGCAAGGTTGTAGATGTCCCAAATTCAACCATTTGAGTGTTTATTAGCTGCTATCCTTTTAAACAAGAAAGTTTTAAGCCAATTCAATACATATTTGTAAATTATGGATTTAGAAGCTTTTCATAGCTTTTAATACCTCTAAAGACTGTTTCAATATATTCAAGACCCAAATCAACCCCTGTAAATGGTGAACCGTGGCCTTATATATATCTTAAGTGAGTAAAAACAAAGCGAAAGCAGAGAGCAATTTAAAGAGCTTACTCTATTCATAACAGGTCTTGGTTTTTTCTCTGCTGGTTGTAACAATCTAGAGGTCGATGGTGAAAGAGGTCGTTTTCCTGGTGTATTATGACACCCAGGTGGCAGCAGAGTCACAGGCTGAAAATTAGAAAAAATGGAAGGGTTTATTGGTACAAAGCACAAGCACCTGTTTCTATCAATAGATGACTCTCTCTATAGTATATATATGAGATACTATTATAGATAAAGTCTACTATTGATAGAAACAGGTGCCTGTGGTCCAAAGCCTGAAACAATGCACTGAAAAGTCAATTAATCTCAATGATCCTTTTGCTCACCATCTTCACAATGTCAAACTATTACAAACTTGGTCTTATACCTTGACTGCAACAGACACCTTTCTTGTATCATTGAAGATTGCATCGATTTAATTGGATTGTATGTTGTCAATTACAGCATATCCAAAACAAAAATAGCAATATGTTACCTGTATAACTTTACCATTAACACCACAGGCTATTCCTCTCATCCAATCATCATCATTTATATCTTTTAATCCAGTCATCTGATTGGCTACTTCTGTATCTTCTGCATTCTCATTGGTTGAGGTAGGTTTATATATTTGATTGGTTCCATCGTCTCTTTTCTGATTGACTTGATCAGAAGTCTAAT